ATGCAAAAAAATCCCGACATACACTTTAATAACGTAAAGTACATACGAATTAAAATCATACAGCAACGCTGTAATAACGCAACGCTGTAATAACGTAACGCAATGAGTATTGCAAGAAGACTAGAGGCCCAGAAAAAGTAAAAGCAGAAAAAGCAAAAGAAATATTTCAGCTTCTTTTCAAAAAAAAAAAACACGCCTGACACAATGATCCAACCGCAAGAGTATACTCTGACCCCTATCAACAAGTCAACAAAGGCAGATTACTTGAAGGGTACAGAAAACCTGATTACATTACAGAAAATAATACCACAATAAGCAGAGTATTTAATTCCTATTTTCTCCTCCCGTTTAAAGGCTAGTTTAACTCCGCTACATACTTCAATTCTCTGATAAATGTATAATGGACAATTAAATAAAGTTACAAGTAAATAAAATCCTATCATAGAATGCCAACAGCAACTCAAAGTAGTTAACTGCTTGGAGTGTAATACACTCCAACTTTCGGCAGATGTACTTAGTAGTTAATATCTTACATCAACTCAATGAGCATCTAATTCCTATAGTAATTTTTTCCAGTATATCAATACAGAAATTGTAATAGAAATATAGTCCAGTCTGGTTGCAAAGACAAACCAAAAAATAAGCGAACTTCAACCGATCCCAAAAATACCAAACACAATGATGCAATAAAATAAGTTTAATTATAACCCCTATCAATAAGTACACCAAGCCGGAAAGAAAACGTGAGAGACAGTTCCAAAGCATGTCTTCAATACAGTCACAAATTCTGAGACGTAGTTCTCAATAATTGTATATGGTGTTATTAGGAAAATTAAACTTCAATTCAGCTTTATACATGGTAAAATTGTTTCTTTTACGTTTCAGGATTGAACTTCTGTTCACAATAGACTATTATGGCCCCTAGATTTCCAAGATTAAAAGATTTTTTAAACTATCAAAGAACATACTTCGGGTGTGTACAAGACTATTGGATATCAATATTTATACATTGTTTTTGTACTTTTGAAATTTGCTAAAAAAATAATATAAAAAGGATAACAGGAATCCTAAAAAAACATACTAGGCTCTCAAATAGACCACACCAACCATCAACACCGCGGCACTGGGTCGATGCCGCTGTTGGTGAACTATCAGCCTCGTGTGTATCATCAGCTCAGTAGTCTGTACCTCGGTTCTGTTATGATTTATAACAAACCTTTCTTAAAGTTTCGCTTTAAAAAAAGTATTAAGGTAACACAATACAAAGATTTTTTCACCCCTAATCAGACAACTTTAAACTGATGTAATTTCTTTCATCCAGCTTTAAATTTTATAAATGAGGTACCAAAAGAAAGAAGAAAGATTAATCTTTCAAGTGGTGATTATTTGATTATGACATGATTATTACATAATTAATTATCATGTAATTAGTTGCTATATTGTGATGTCCACACTTGAATGAAAATAGCTTCTTTGTTATTCATACCATCCCAAAATATTTTATAGATTCTTGTGAAACACAGTTTGACCTTCAAAAGGGTGTCTCAGATTTTTCCTATTGTATTTCATTCTCTCATAAACCTTCAATGAAGTTTGCAACCTCAATTCATAAGAGATCACTAAATTAAATTGGGTATAAAATTTGTTCTATTGATGTTTTGGGAAATCTGAGACACCCTTTTGAAGATAACTGGTGAAGGAACAACATGTGTGAAAATCAGGCATATAGGGGCACCCATCTAGGAGGTAATTTCATTTAAAACTACATTTCCATGACAAAAATGAATGTGTCACAATTGAATAAATAAAGATTTTCCTACTTGTACCCCATTTACTTCAATATAATTCACACATGTATCATGGGGATACTTCAGGATTGACCTTTAATCATAAATCAATTAGGTTTTGACCAGTAAGAAAGCATTCCAATTCAGCAATTCTAAATATAAAAAAAAAATGCACACCCTATGCATCAAAAATCAGATCTGGCGGGAGTTTTTATATCATTATTGACCTTGCTACTGATATGGTCAAAACTCCGCCCACCATGATAAACCTTTACTATTAATGATCTCAGAAGTTTAATTACACATTGAATTAACTTTTTTTAATATGGATTTTATTCTTTTAGTACATAAAATGATATATTTTGTTTTTTGCATTGTTACAAAAAGTAAGTTATGCATGTGTACACAAAATGATCAGTTGGTCAGTCTAGAGGATCCTTATGGGGGATTTCTAGAATTATAATTGTATACAATGACAATATGGTGTTTTACACAAAGTAGATTTTTTTCATTTTTTGTAGTTTGAAAATGAAACATTTAATTTGTATTTTCTTTTAAAAAGAATTCATATTTAAACATTCTCCTCAAGAAATTCTAGTATAAACATCAGCAACATTTATTGTTGTACAATTATATTTGTTTAATATCTGTACATTTATATTTTGATTCCCTCTGAAGATCCAAATAGTTGTTTTGTTTGTTTATTTGGAATTCATTATCTTCATTTTTCCATAAATCCCTAATCCACCTCTTTTTCATAAATGTTATTTTTATTGCTGGTCAGTGGTCGTAAAGCTATCAAATGATTCTATTGATTAACCACCTAGTACTGCCCACATGTTCTCATCTTGTATCAGTCAGACACGTACATTTGTTTATAAAAATAATTATCATCAAAACTCATTAACAGTGCAAGATATGTAAATAATTTTTTCTTCTGTGGTTTTTGAATATTAAGAAGTAACAAAAACAGCTGAAAATGCTTTTGTATTGTGCTACCTTAAGAGACAAAAGTTTCAATTCCCTCAGGCAAATTTGACCACCTTAGATGGAATTGGCTATTATTTGTAGGTCCTTTTTGGTCATATAGCTCTTCAACTGTTTCGGTTTTTATACATCCTTGGCTTTCAGATATTTAGCATAGAGCGTTTTTGATGAAGGTAAATCCACAAAAGCACTTCGGCATCATGAAATTTATAAGTGTTGCTTTCATTTTTGTAGGTCTTTTGACGTGATGCATAACCTTCACCAAAAAGATATGTGGTGTTTAAAGATGTAACCTACCAAAATGCCAAAATAGATAACAAATCTTCTCTGCAACATCTTCGACAAATGAACCCAAAGAAACGATGAGAAAACCACAAACGAAGTAACTGGCGTGGGACAGATACAAGCATTTGGCTAATTCGAAATAGTTTTGAGAGTATCAACGAAAGATAAACAGAAGACGGAGAAACGTAAAAAACAATATGGACACGTCATAATAATGTTGCTGGGGTTTTTTTTTGGACAAAGGTCATTAGTTATTATTTATAGCCCCTTGGTATCTTCTCTAATTTTTTTACTGGAAGATAATCTCGAGCCTTACTGTCGATTTTGTAGAACAATTTAAGATAAAAAGTTAAATAAAGCATTGTTGCAGCTCCAATTATATTCCATATTCTATAAGTTGATTGGATGCAGAGATGGCTTACCTTCATCATATCGTTGGTACCATTTTCTTTGTGCTATCATTTAATGGCAGTACTAATTTAATGTTAATAGTTATTGAATACGTTTGTCAAAGATAACCATGAATTTCCCCCATTTTTTGTAAACACAATTCCGTCAAATTTTAGCTGATATAACTAAATGTGATTTATCATTGACATTTTTCTCACTATGATGAACATGACAGATGCTCATAGTAGAAAAGAAAAAAGAAAACAACACTTTATAAATTTCATGAGTCCAGAGCACTTTTCTGGATTTACCTTAATCAGGAACTCTTAAAGCAGAATATTTGAAAGCCATGAATTTATAAATTTAGAATAGGAAAAATAAGTTTGAATAAACTGCTCAAGTTTTCATTTCAAACCTCATATTCTAACATGTCTAGGTATTAGAGGATTTGCGTGTACAAAAAAGAGGGGCGAAAAATACCAGAGGGACATTCAAACTCATAAATCGAAAAAAAACTGACAACGTCATGGCTAAAAGAGAAAAAGACAAACAGAAAAACAATAGTACACAAAACACAACATAGAAAACTAAAGACTAAGCAACACGAACCCCACTAAAAACTGGGATGATCTCAGGTGCTCCGGAAGGGTAAGCAGATCCTGCTCCACATGTGGCACCCTTTGTGTTGCTCATATTAGTACAAACTCGGTAAATAGTCTAGTTCGGTAGGTCATATTCGTGAAAAGGGAACGGGATTGTAGTTACGACATAAGGAACATATCCGCTATCATCTGTGAAACTGATGTTCCATAACGGTCAACCAACTCGTGATGGCGTCCGTAAAATTTACGAAGGGATGATTTCAGCTTCACCATTTGGAACTCTTGGTTTAATAGCTCCCTTGTGGGCAGCAACCCTCTATCAAGGAATCATGATAGGAAATACAAGCCCGGGAATATCGTATCAATTGGGAGATATTGGTCAACATGCAGTCGCTGCGGGAATGTTGCTACATAGAAATGGTGTCGTAATTTTGTAATTTCTTTTGATTAGACAAGAGACATCCACCAAGTCTTACAGGTTCGATTTAACAAGAGCAAAACGATGTGTGCCATTAGTAAAGCAGAACTAGCTAACCCTTCCTGAGTACCTGACTTCAAACTAATTTTTGGCAGGGTTCATGTTGCTCAATCATTGGTTTTCTGTGTTGAGGACTGTTTAGCTTTTGGTTTGTTTTTTGCTATGGTGTTGTCTTTCATTTTCTGATTTATGGTTTTCAACTGATAATTATCATGTCTTGGTCTTGTTTTCCTGAAATATTTGTTCTGCTTGTCGGATTTTAGTTAGTTTAAACATCTATAGTAAGACTGGTTATGAATCTTTTGGTAAAGCGTTATCTGAATCAACATATTTGAGTTTTTATGTGTTTTTTAACTCCTGTGTCTCTATCCTTCTCATTATCTTTCACTTATAAACCATTTAAAAAAGTTCTGATTTTCTATGATACCAAAACGAATACTTTAAACATCTTGTTCTTAAATAATAAATCAATTTTTGTAACAATAAAATTTATTTATTTTTACAACATATTTTACAAATCTGTTAAATTTTTTAATAAATATCTGGAAACAAAATTATTTAAAAAACTGTATGTCATGAAACTTATATTCCCTTTAAACATGTTTAAAGGAGTTATAAACAAGCCAGAATGACTCCCTGAAGAACAATTTAAAAACAGTGATGCATAAATGATCCACTTTTATTTTCCTGTATATTTCAAAAGAAATAAAAAATGAAGAATAAAAGAGAAATATATATCCACCTTAACTTATGCAATATTTAACTCCTAATTCATGATATAAATTAAATCATCACTTGCTTAATTTCTCTGAAAGTAAAATAAAAATCCTATGCATATCCATTAAATCGCATTAAAAAAATCGCCTCAAGTCAAAAATAACATATAACCATTGTTACAACATATTATTTATTATTTTTATCTACCTTTTCAAGTCAACTACAAATTTACAACATGAAGATATAGAACAAACTTAAACCCAATTTATTTTTTTTCAGAAATCAACATGTGTAGCTTTAAAAATATGAACAAGATGTACTTATGCATATTCAAATCCAAACCATTTATCATTCAATACTTCTGTCTAGTCTTCCACAACTTACATCACAGACATGACACAAATAAATAACTTTCAAACAATTAAATTGTTCATTAACAAATGTAAGTAAAGGGGAAGTGTATTGGAAATAACATATTCTATACTCATAATTTATGAATGAATATCACATTTATGGTTTGATCTTTTAAACAATAGTATACAAAAATAAATCATATTTTAAATATCATTATAAAAATCTATAAATACAACAACAATAAATCAACAAGTGTTATTTGTTCAAATATATTAAAACTACTGGTATATAAAAACCTTATAAGGCCAAAATAAAAAACTTGTGTTTAGGGTTTGCCTACATACTCAATTTTGTTATGCCTACCTTAATGTTTTTATTGGAACTTTTGGTAATCAATCAGGACAAAATTGCAGCTTACCCAATACACTCAAGGTAAAAAATGAGAAATAAAAAATCATTTCTACTTATCTACACTATCTATCTTAAGGAGGAAACCCTAACATGTTTTGTATTTTCTTTACTAAAATTGAAATATATAATTGTATATTGTATTCTGCATGTCTGGTACTGGTATTATTAAAAATATCTCTATAAAAACTATGCTTCACACTGAAGCATAGTGAAATATAACTATAATCTAAAAAGATTTTAAGTATTGTATTCATTTTACTTTACCAGTGATAATTGCCTCTGATCACATAAGGTATTAAATAAAATTGCACAACAAATGTCTTATACACAATAAAATGTTGTTTATAAACATTTGGTCATTTCTATACATCTCTCTAGCTATTTTCAATACAGGTTAATGAAAGTGGTAATATTGTAAGACATAAAGAGTTGGAGAAATAAAAATCAGCCCAGTAGTCAGCAGTTCTGTGTGACATGAGTTATCATTGATATGGTCATATTTATAAATTAACTGTTAACAAAACTTTGTTCCAAATACTAAGGATTTTCTACTCTGGGAATAGATTATAGTTGCTGTATTTGGCAAAACCTTTTAATGCTCTTCAACTTCCTAATTTATTTGGCCTTTTCAACTTTTTAACTTCGAGCATTACTGATGAGTCTTATGCACACGAAACACATGGCTGACATACAAAATGTACACAGTGATGAGGTACATATTGAATGTCTAAAAACTTACAGGAGATCAGTATGAATTGATGAACTGGTTAACTGTTTGAATCATAGATCATTACCCATATCCAGATAGAATAAACAGGTTTTACTTTATTCATAAGTTCAAATAATACAGATTCACATTGTAAGAATAGATGATCAATTAATAATAAATGAAAAGAAATCTAAGGCAATTAAAAGGTCCCAAAGTCACCAATAAGCATCAATATTTAAAGTAAGCAATAAAAGCAAAACAAAAGCTTCAATAATTCAAAATAAGTACTTGTTAAACTAATTAAGTAATTATATAAAACTATAACATCAATAGAACACAACAGAACACAATAGTATTTGCCATAATATATTCACTTTATATTTTATCAGTATTTAGTGTCAGACAAAAAGTTAATTAGATGTTCATATATATTCTTCCAATATCTATCTATTCAAGACATGAGAATGTATGATAAGGCCTATAATTTGGCCCCTTGAATTTCAAATAAAACAAACACACCTATGAGTTTATCCAGTTACTAGCATCCAATGTTGACAAGATTCTTACATGTATACCAAAGACTTCTCAGCTTTAAATTACAAATAAACCTGCTTTTTGGATCTTCCCATTTCCATTTAGAAATGAATAAAATCCCTCCTAAAAAGATTGATTGCCAAAAGATATCTTGTATCAAAAAAGTTAAGTGTAACATCCTTTTACGTTAGGCTGATGCTCATTTAATTGTAACAATTTTTTCTGTAAAATGGAAATTTTAATCAAACAGTTCAATTATGATGTTTATGACATCACAATGCTTATTCTGCATTAAAGTCACCAGTTTTACAAGTTTAAGTATTTATTTGTTTCTTTTCAATTTCAGGGGCAAAAGCATTGTTTCTTTTCGTACCTCCTTTGAAATTTTTCTTTTCATGAATTTTAAAACCAGAACATTTATACTTAATGGATGCATATTAATATCAATGGTTGAAAGAGAAAAAAATAAGTTTCTTCTACAAATGATAAGAAAAATGTTACGTATAATTCTTCTCCTAGTTTTTCCAAGAATGGCCAATTAATGTACCATGTAATTCACAGGTCAATGGTGTAGAGTCAGATATAGAAATATTGTTAAAATGAAAGTAAATATTTTTGAAGCACTGTGTTCTATTGATCTGCTCTATTTGGTCTAATTATACAGCAGATTTATCTACTAAATAACAATGATATATAATCATAATGGTGATATGTATACACTGACAGAGTGGTTCCCCTTGGACACGTTATCAATTACTTAGACCTTTGAAAGAATTAAATACCCTTTTCTCTACAAATACAAACTATTAATAAATTGGACAAAAATATGCTGACAAGTGATTAAAATACAAAAGAATAAGAGAGAAAACTGTATAATTATTACCCAAATTATCAGATACTAACTTGCATTGTATGAATCACCATAAATTTGGCAACATAAACATATTTTGAACAAGACTTCATTTTAAACTCATACAGAAAACCTTACACTAACAGAAAATTAATTTCAAAATGAAACTGAATTTCTTTCAAGCCCCAAAGAAAAAGTAAAACATACTGTTCTTATTCTTATAATAAAAATATTATGATAAAAATGGAATGATTTAAAATATTTGTTGAAATATTACAATTGCCTTTATTTGATCTAGTTAATATCCAACATGTATGTAAATAATTTGCAAAGACTGATTACTAATACTTCAAACATCAGTATAATGTCGAATCCATATTATTTACTGCCATTTATCTCTTACAAACAATACATCACTGATATATTTATAGGTAATAAGGCAATTTAATTAAAAAGATTATTTTAAAACAAAAACATCAATCCCTTGAATAAATTAAGCACAGTTGCTGAGGCATATGACTTGTTTGTATATAAGTATAATAAGATAATAATTTAAAGTAAAGATTTAACCTTATCCAGCTTATATTTAAAATAGCAGCATATTACATGATGATAACAATTGTACTTTTTCACAAATTTCATCTTTCTTTCTACATTCTCTGAAGTGTCTGCCATATGGGAATTCAGTAAGCAATGGTATATGTACAAAAAAATGTACATAGAAGAAAATATCATTCCAAAAAATAGCACCAAAGTTAGTATCTAATGATTTGAAATATACACACAGTACCTTAACTATTTGGGATCAGGTAAATATTAACCACTATTTTGGATAATGTGATTGCTGAAATATTTCACATATTTTATCACATGGACATAATGTTACTGACCCTGCAAGGTTTGTGTCTGTGAATCAAATTCCTAATCATTTTACTGTTAATGCCATTAAATTGATGCAATCAACCCTACTAAAAAAATGAAATTGCTGTTAAATTCTATTTAAAGACACTACCATATTGTAGGTCATGGTAAATGGCCAGGAAAGAATTTAAAAAAGAAAGCTCTAGTAGCTAAACAGCAACATATCTGATTTAATGAACAAAATAAAAAAATTAAAGACGGTCAAAAGTTGGCTTACTTTCATACTGCTAAATGACAATCCATAAAAAAAGGTATTATGAACATGTGTAACAGAAAGTGTTTTCTTATGTAATAACATAGAGGAAGTTGACAGGAAATGATAGTTGGATTTATATGTTTGTTTTAACAACATTAAATTCAACATTAATTAATACAAATGTCCTGACAAATATGACAGCAAAAAAGCAGTTGCATTGCAATGATTTTTTTTAAAGGATGTGAAAAGCATTACATGTATAAATAAATAATGATATAACAGTTTCCTGCACATGAATATCATTTGTTTTATATTTGTTCCTTAGTACTCTTGATGGTCTGTACCATGGTCTTCTTCATGCTCTATGGATTGTGCCATGTCATAGTTAGGGGTGTATTCCTGTATACCTTCGTCACGCTGAAACTTACGCTGAATGGCAATCTGTAATCAAAAAACATTTTTTAGTGTTTCACTACAGTAAGTTTGTGAAGAAAAGTGTCCAAAAAATCTACTTGGAATTTTGCTGAATGCCAGAGTAACAATGATAGTTCTCGCACATGTTTTCTTCTAAACTTATTTTTTTTCTTTTCTTTGAGAATCTATATTTATAATAATTTACTTTTATTTTCATAAAATTACATCAAAAACAGTTTAAGTATATTAATTCAAAGCCATAATATCAATTACTATTTACAGATCTACAGAAACCTGCAAATGTTCAAATTACAATTGTTTTATAAGAATCACAAATTTCAATGAAAAGAACAAAAGAAGTAAGCCTCAAAAAGCAAATTAATTTATCTTCATGCATATAAATAGAACCTAATATTGTATACCTTAATGACTTTTGCGAGTAGAAAAATACTGTGAATATAAATTGTCATGAATATGTAACAATTGGACCTTTCCCCATATAAATACATTGTTTCCATGTAGGTTTGTCTAAAAAAAACTTTAACCAAAGACAAAACCTAAATGTTGACGCCGCCTCCGACGCTGCCGCTGGCGATAGCTATGTCTCGCTTTTGAGAAATAAATTTTGCAGGCTGACAAAAATGACCAGTGTTATTTTTCCTTTTTAAAATCACTCAGAAAAAAAGTGAACTTCTTCCAAAGTAGTTCTGACATTCAGTGATGGAAATCACTGATGGAAAGACTTGAGTTGTGTGTATATACTTTCAAATCATATTTGTGATATCGTGGATAACAGAAACAAAACTTGATATCTTGCTATACCACGTGATCTTGCATTAAATCAGAAAGATAATTGGATTTTTTTCAGTTGATAAAACAAGCTTTCCGTAAAAAAAGCATTGAAAATGCATTTTTTAAATAACAAAAATTAAATAACTATCTTCTTAATTTAAATTGATGTTCATTTTTCATTGAGAACAAAATATTTCCTGTATTCAAATATACATGTACAAATCTACACTTGCAATATAATGGGGAATAAACAAATAAATTTGATTGTAGAAAATGATCAGGTTATGCAATTTTGTTTATTGTTACAAGAAAATTAACTTAAATTAACCTAAATTATTGACTAATATCAGATGATGATCATAACACTGATTTTACAAGTAAAATAGACCCTGCTTGCAATTTTATACATTTTTGTTTTTTGTCTTGTCTTAGCAAAAAATGCATCTTTTAATCTATGAGACATAATTTGCAGAATAATTTTATGTAGTGTAGATCAAAAGTAATTGAATACACAATTATTGAGGTCAATATCTGTGTATTCAATTATGTAATACAAGAGATGTTAACTGTGTTCAAATCAGATTGCCATTAAAGTGGACACCATCCAATATAAAGTGTAATTGTTTGTAAATAATGACAGATATCTATCATACTGTATTGTATCAGTACTCTTACTTGCCTAAGGAAAAAATTGAAATAATACCATTTCAAAAAAGTGTGGAAATCAACTTTGATATCAATACACATCATATACTAAATTTAATTCACTTACTTACACAAGCATAAGATACCAATAAGATTTTCAAAATTTTGATCAACTACTTTATTTTTGATATACTACTTTTTCACATAAATTCATAATAATTTGTTATAAATTTTGACTCACAAAGGAACTATATGCAAGTGTATATCTAAAATAAAGTAGCTGTTTGGCTAACCTTTTCTTTATTTAAGGGCAAATAACATGTCAAAAGTTGGCAGTATAGCATTAAATGGTGTATAATGTTTCCGAAAGTCATAAAAACATCTAATTAGTTTCATTATGTCTTCAACTTAGAATTATGCACCATCTCAATATCTAGAGAGATCACTTTGATAATTCTTTGATAAATTGTTGGATGTTCAGAATACTGAGCAAGGTATATCTAACAGTCTTTGTTTAGAAAAAATAGTCTATAAATTTTCAAAAAAGTCATTCACATAAAAAGTGTTGAACATTGAAAGCAGTGGAAACCTTTGTTTACATATTTTATTCCAAAGATGTGATCATGTGTTTTTTTGATAAGTATATCTATACTTTGGTTAAATACCTCAAATGTCTTTTAAACTATTTGTATATGTGTACCTTTTTCAATGTTAAAAGCTGTTTATCATGAAAATGGGAAAAATAAAATTTATAGTTATAGTAAGGATACCTAAGCATGTTTGAAAGAATAATTACTTTTCCAAGATTTTGGTTTTAATTCATTGTTGTATCAACATGGTTAAAGAGGCATTAGCTACGAGATATAAAAAAAAATAAAATATGATTTTTTTTGTTCAATCATTAATGAAAGTGAAATAGTAAAATAATAATTTGCTTTTAGCAGCCAGTTTAGTTCAATTTTGTCAAAATAAGCTAAGAAACACTTGCAAGTGAATAATTCCACCTTATTGAATCCATATTCATGTGGATTTAACCCATTAGCTAGAGATTGGTTACGCATATATTAGTCGTGTTCAGCCATTAAAAGGAAAAGAATGTCAACATTGAAAGTGAAACAAAGGTGAACCCTTTCGTTGACTGATTCTATCCACAAAAAATCATTCTTATACAGGTAAAATCGATGATTAACTTAGCTTTTTACCCTATAACATGAAATCAAACAGACCTAGAAATGTCCAATTGCATGAGGTCGCATATATTTATGTTTATGTTTATATCGGGTTATGTGACCGTCAGCAGTCTTCGGATGTCACCTTGATAGTTAATTAGATGGTGTCTAAACTGAACACACACAAAATGCTGATATATATTATCGAGTCCATACATTGTAAATTGTTTATTTCAAACTTATTGTAATTTGGATATACGTTTTAGTACGTTATAAATCAAATATGAGAATTTGAGTCAAATCGGTGAACATGATTTTGACAGCTAATGCCTCTTTCAGTAATTTTTTATCTTTTATGCCACCTTTAAATAAATAATATTATAAAAATACCTAAAGAACAAACCTGAACCATAGCAAACATAAAAAAGCAAAGCAGTTATAGTACACTTAATCATTATAACAGTTATAATGTCAAAAATTAAGTTTAATATCATTTATATTCTGCTTTTAAAAAAAATGAGGAAATATCTTAGAACTTCATATTTTATAAGGCAAGGTAGAAAGCACCCTATGATCATGTTTTCATAAATGTATAAAAATATATTTTACACCATTCAGTTTTGAAGATAATTGATGATGAAAACAGGATCGAGTTGAACCATCATCAACAAATAAAAAAAACATCAACTGCAGTGGCAAATAAAAAATGCATGCTATAAAATGAATATACTAGCTAATACACAAAGAAATTAAACACACACTAGGTAGAAAACAAAACTTGAAACAGAACAGTACCTCAATGAAGTCTGGAGTACGACACCTTACTATAACGCTCAGGGCGAGAAGGAGACGATGGTTCTTCATCATAAGCTAGAGGATATTCTCTGGGTTTTTGGGGTGATGTATGATTACGCAAGGCCATCTAATAATAAAAGTAAACGAACTAATAACATGCAAGGTGCATGCACAGTTTTTTACATTAACATTTTGAAGGTCACTAAGTAACTTGATTTTCTTTTCCAAAAAAAACCAGTTCTAGATTTAATGCAAAGAAAATTAGCTGCTTAATCAAGATCATTTTAAAATTTACACTGTCAGTATGAGTGCTTGAAAGTATCAGAATTTTTTATTTTTTTACTTAATGAAAAATCATGTTCAATATCTCATTTAAGTATTCTGGTTAGAGAAATAATAGTTAGTCTTACAGTGCATAGAAGCATGCTAACCAGAAAATAAATCTAGAATGGCTGCTTTTACATGTTTAAGCAATGTCTCAAATCAATATGAAAAATATGTACAGGAAAATACAATAAGGTCCATACCTTTAGCTGTGATGGTGTAAGTCTGCTGAAAGTTTCTCTGTCTAAACCATACACAACAGCATTTACAGCACCTACAGGAAGGTCAATATTGGCAAATTTAAAAACACACAAACATTGTACAAGACAGTAATAAATATAGCTAACTGTAGCAAAAACAAAAAAACAATACATAGTACAAATTGTGAAATTTTCAGAGAATTAGTCACCAGGAAAAAAAATTGAACTTTAAGCTTGTCATGAAATATGGAAGAAAATAGCTGTTTTACAATAAGGAATTACAAAGTATTAAATGATCGCTTATTCAAATTGTTACTGTTTCTTTTGGGGGCCTTTCAGTACATGTTTTGCATCATTGCTCCTGAAATTTTCATAGAATTAGTCACCAGGAAAAAAAATTGAACCTTAAGCTTGTCATGAAACATTCTTTAAAAAATTTCAAAATTTTGGTGGAAGAAAATAGCTGTTTTACCATATAGGGAATTACAAAGTATTAAATGATGGCTTATTCTTTTGGGGGCCTTTGAGTACATGTTTTGCATCATTGCTCCTCATGAAATAGGTATTTTGACATTCAGATGTTCATGCTTTATCATGGTGATCATTTGAAGGTGATCACTTCATCGAAAATAACTCCACATTTCTTTAGGATTGTAACAGAGAAGTATCACTAATTCTACAAATGAACTTAATTCAATTTTTTTAAATTAAAAATAGTCATTTAAACATGACATTGTGACTATAGTTTATTTTTCCCAATTTCACAATAAAGATTACATCATGATATTGCCCATCGCTTAATAAAGAAGATTACAATCATGATATTGCCACTTGCTTAATAAAGAAGATAACATCATGATATTGCCCCTTGCTTAATAACAAAGAAGATTACATCATGATATTGCCCCTCACTTAATAAAGAAGATTACATTATGATATTGCCCTCGCTTAATAAAGAAGATTACATCATGATATTGCCCTTTGCTTAATAAAAAAGTTTACATCATGATATTGCCCCTCGCTTAATGAAGAAGATTACATCATGATATTGCCCCTCGCTTAATAAAAAAAATTACATCATGATATTGCCCCTCGCTTAATAAAGAAGATTACACCATGATATTGCCCTTCACTTAATAAAGAAGATTAAATCATGATATTGCCCCTCACTTAATAAAGAAGATTACATCATGATATTGCCCCTCACTTAATAAAGAAGATTATTTTAGGATATTGCCCCTCACTTGATAAAGAAGATTACATCATGATATTGCCCCTCGCTTAATAAAAAAGATTACATCATGATATTGCCCTCGCTGAATAAAGAAGATTACATCATGATATTGCCCCTCGCTTAATAACAAAGAAGTTTACATCATGATATTGCCCTTCACTTAATAAAGAAGATCATGATATTGCCCCTCACTTAATAAAGAACATTACATCATGATATTGCCCTTGCTTAATTAAGAAGATTACATAATGATATTGCCCCTCGCTTAATAACAAAGAAGATTACATCATGATATTGCCCCTCGCTTAATAAAGAAGATTACATTATGATATTGCCCCTGGCTTAATAAAGAAGATTACATTATGATATTGCCCTTCGCTTAATAAAAAAGTTTACATCATGATATTGCCCCTCGCTTAATAAAGAAGATTACATCATGATATTGTCACTCGCTTAATAAGAAAATTACATCATGATATTGCCCCTCGCTTAATAAAGAAAATTACATCATGATATTGTCCCTCGCTTAATAAAGAAAATTACATCATGATATTGCCCTTGCTTAATAAAGAAGATGACATCATGATATTGCCCTTCGCTTAATAAAAAAGTTTACATCATGATATTGCCCCTCGCTTAATAAAGAAAATTACATCATGATATTGTCACTCGCTTAATAAAGAAGATTACATCATGATATTGCCCTTGCTTAATAAAGAAGATTACATCATGATATTGCCCCTCGCTTAATAACAAAGAAGATTAAATCATGATATTGCCCCTCGCTTAATAAAGAAGATTACATTATGATATTGCCCCTCGCTTAATAAAGAAGATTACATCATGATATTGCCCTTTGCTTAATAAAAAAGTTTACATCATGATATTGCCCCTCGCTTAATAAAGAAGATTACATCATGATATTGTCACTCGCTTAATAAAGAAAATTACAATCATGGACAAGAAAAATGCGTAAATTAAACTTCATAAGAAGGCAATGTACTGGAAATTATTGAAACTCAAAATTAATAAAACAGTTTACAGTAGTGATGAATAGCACTGAACTTAACCAAAGACTTAAAACTAATAAATGTCATGGTGATTCAAATACTGCTCATCTTTAAAGATTGCATTGAAGTGGTATGTCATGTTATAGAAAACAGCTATAAATTTTCAAATCTTAATCTATTGCTTCACGGACATAAGTGGACGTGTCACAAAAAGACAAAATTGGAGGCAGTATGGTGACCTTTAGTTGTTTAAAACTTCTATGTCATTTGGTCTCTGGTGGACAGATTGTCTCACAGGCAATCATACCACATCTTCTTATTTTTATAAAATACCATACCTTGTAATGGAGAAGATAGAGCTTGTAGCACAACAAGAGCAAACACTGGAGAGTTTGGTGCAACAGCATTCTGTATCCTGAGAATAAAAAGGAATGCATGTATTTTATATTTCTCTGGGTTTTTGGGGTGATGTATGATTACGCAAGGCCATCTAATAATAAAAGTAAACGAACTAATAACATGCAAGGTGCATGCACAGTATTATTCCTTTAACTTCAATTGTTTGGATAGATAAGCAGAGTAAAAACCTTATACAATTGGTTTAATGACCAAGATTAAGAATCGTCTCTAAAATAAATAACTTTGATTTGACGAATTAAAATTTTGCTTTCAGAATCTTCTTCCACTTTTTACTTTTTCTTCAATCACTGTTTTCCCTTCCTACTGCAAAGGGTGATTGCAGAATTTTTAAGGAGAAATGTCATGTTAAGGTCACTGCATACAGAAAAGCTAACATGAAAAAGAGTACTGGAAGACAATTTAACAGCAGTACATTTTCTAAATATTTGGATATACTTAAGAATTTCTTTTTAAAGTAAGTTATGTTCACAATGTTTTATAATAAAAATTAACCATTCAGTATTTTTAGAGCAAGTGTGGCAGATTTACGCATCATTAAAATAATCTTTTTGAGACAAAAAAAATATATGTCCGTTCCCTACCTCTGACTGACCCTAAGTTTGATTGAAGACCTTGAAAGATTCTATGCTTTCTGAAATAATTATTAAAGGCATAGCATTTGTGATATTGAGTTGACTTCCAATCCTATTTCTAATGGATTATTCGGTAAAGATTGACCAAAATCATGTGCAAATTTTGTCAGAGACTATTCCAAATTGCAAAATGAACCATTGTGAATGCACATACTGGATGTGTTTAAATCAGGATTGGATTTGGAGAAAATATGCAATTTTTCTAGAGGTTGTAAATACTTAGTCCACATTTTTTGTTTACCTTACTATATTAATCAGTAGGAATATAGAAACATCAGTGTGTAATCTAACTTTATGCCAACATTTATAAACTACTTATGGATGGTAATAGAGAAACATCAGTGTTGTAGACTATTATCTACAATATGATTATAATAAACAAAATACATTCCTCACCTATTTATTAGTGGAAATATAGAAACAGCAATGTAAACAAATGGGTAAGCTGTTAGAGGCTTTATATCCTCCTTTAACATTTGTTTCTGTCTCTCTGTGTCTGGATCATATGTACCTTGCCAGCTGGAGGCCTGCAATCAAAAGTAAATCTTCTTGTATCATATCTCATTTTAAAAAAATATGGGGAATAAGGCCCATGTAACCTAAAATTTCCCATAACACAACTTAAGTATAAAGTGTTGAAAAAATAAAAGCAAATTTCACAATTGACTAGTTACCATAGTAAGAAATCATGATGTAGATTGTTTATTCTGTAAAAACTGTTAATTTTCCTAGTTTTGTAAAAACTTTTAAATCTATTATGGATTTTAGAAAAACTTTGGAAACTGTATATAATCACTGTGTTTTTTCTTCATTTTCTGTAATTCTATTGTGCTTCCATCATAAATAATGAAAATAATATTACACCATTGGTTGGATATCTAGTGTATTGGAGAACTAATCACAATGTTTTGGTGTATGCTATTGAAGATATGCCTTAGAATGCATTAGATTCAGTGAAATTGATGAAACAAATGGTAGTAAAACTTAATTTTACAAAACCCATAGAGAGAGTTATCCCACTTAAACATAAAATACCATTGACCAAATACTTCACCTTTTTTAGACGACAGTAATCAACAAACTCAAGTATGTTCACATGACCTGAGTACAGTTTAGAAAATATGATGTAATGGTCAAGTGTTTAACAAATTGAAACAGTTAAAAGTATTTACATGAAAAATGACTAAATTTTCATTGTGATTAAAACTGCTTTGTGCCAGTAATGAGTCAGACTTTTAACATGCTAACTCACAAGGTGAAAGTCCACATGAAAAAGTCTTACCCTAACCAGAAATATCTTTCAGACTTTGAGTCTGACCAATCTTTGTTCTAACTCCTATATGTCCTGTTCTTGAAGAAGAAGCAGTAGAAACCCATTCTAAAGTCTTTGATAAGACCTGGCAGACAGTTGAACCCATAACCTCATTCACAACAGGCAAGTACGCTACCATGTGACTACTGAGACAGTTAATAAACATTAGTATTTCTGATTCTCACATATTTGTATTACTCAAAGTATTTTTGTTTCTGGTATTATTTAGAAGTCTTAAAATTTACCTTTCTATATAAGCTGTATACGATGTATAAATATGTGATAACTAATCCTATCAATATAACAAACAATGGTCCATAGTATCTGAAATACAGAATAAATATTTGTATTAATCAGCTTATGTCACATAATCAGCTAATTAGTGGTGAAGGTGGGGGACCTTGTCCCATAAATAATGTTTGGCCTGACATTATTCAGTTTGACCTTAGTGATCAATGAGGTCATAGCAAACTACATATGTATATATCTTTGAACCCACTTTGTTTTAACTGAATTTAAGTAAATGAACTCATGAAGGGTATAGTATGGATAAAAAAACTTTTTACAAGCTACAACAAAATTTAATTATCATATATTTCTTTAGGATATCATAAACTAACAATATGAAGCTAAGACTGAATGAACTTGGTTAAACTTGGGTCACAAGCTTGATTTAACTCACAAGCTTTTGCAATTGGATATAAATTAAAAAATAATCTACAATTCAAAGACCTGACTTCAAAGTAACGTTACACAATCATTTCTGTCTTACTCTGCAAAATACTCACATGCCTACTCTCCAACCAACATCAGACTCTATCCAGCTGGAAAAGATCAAATACAAGTAACAGCTATTTATTGACAAAAATTTGTCAAATATACCACAACATTTTTTAAATGGTTGTTGCCCCTAAAAATCTGTGACAATCAACAAGCTGATGTCACTTCAGTGATGGTTTTAGAAATCCATCTGAATCTGTATTATATCACTTTTATATATAATTGCGTGAATTCAATTTGGAAGAGTTGCAAGGTTTCATGTATGTCTTTGCACTTTGCTAGTTACTTAAAAGAACATGTAGAATAGAATATTGAAGAGTTCTATCATATTTTTGCATCTTAGGGACTTGAAGAGCAGTCTCTTTTTTAATTTTGTTTGTTTTGTTCAGATAATGTGCAATAAATTATCATCTCCATGCATTTGTCCATACTAGGAAAGTGAAGTTTTAAATAATTTTATCACAATGCAATAATAAGTATAATACTTACCACCAAGCACCAGCAGGTCCATAGTGGTCATTTATAAATGGAAGAAGTGACAATACCAATGGTACTCCCCAACAGAATACATGGTACAACCTAAAATTAAAACCAGAGAATTAAGACTAGTACCAGATATAGTCCCCAACACAATACATGGTATAACGTAAAATTAAAACCAGAGAATTAAGACTTGTACCAGATATAGTCCCCAACACAATACATGATATAACTTAAAATAAAATTAAAACCAGAGAATTAGGACTATATGTAGTACCAGGGATACTCCCCAACACAATACATGGTATAACTTAAAATTAAAACCAGAGAATTAAGACTAGTACCAGATATAGTCCCCAACACAATACATGGTATAACGTAAAATTAAAACCAGAGAATTAAGACTAGTACCAGATATAGTCCCCAACACAATACATGATATAACTTAAAATTAAAACCAGAGAATTAGGACTATATGTAGTACCAGGGATACTCCCCAACACAATACATGATATAACTTAAAATTAAAACCAGAGAATTAGGACTATATGTAGTACCAGGGATACTCCCCAACACAATACATGGTATAACTTAAAATTAAAACCAGAGAATTAGGACTACCAGAGAAACCCCCAACAGAATATATGGTATAACCTAAAATTAAAACCAGGGAAACCCCATACAGAGTATATGGTATATCCTGAAATTAAAACAATGAGAATAAGGACTACAAGAGAAACCCCTAACAGAACAAATGGTATAACCTAAATTCAATACTGAGAATAGAGACTACCAGAGAAACCCCCAACAGAACATATAAAATTGAGAATGGAAATGGGGAATGTGTCAAAGAGACAACAACCCGACCATAGAACAGACAACAGCAGAAGGTAACCAACAGGTCTTCAATGCAGCGAGAAATTCCCGCACCCGGAGGCGTCCTTCAGCTGGCCCCTAAACAAATATATATACTAGTTCAGTGATAATGAATGCCATACTAAACTCCAAATTGTACACAAGAAACTAAAATTAAAAATAATACAAGGATGACAAAGGCTAGAGGCTCCTGACTTGGGACAGGCGCAAAAATGCGGCGGGGTTAAACATGTTTATGAGATCTCAACCCTCCCCCTATACCTCTAGCCAATGTAGAAAAGTAAACGCATAACAATACGCACATTAAAATTCAGTTCAAGAGAAGTCCGAGTCTGATGTCAGAAGATGTAACCAAAGAAAATAAACAAAATGACAATAATACATAAATAACAACAGACTACTAGCAGTTAACTGACATGCCAGCTCCAGACTTCAATTAAACTGATTGAAAGATTATGTCTTCATCATATGAATATCAGGCACAATCCTTCCCGTTAGGGGTTTAATATCATACCATCATAACATATATGAGAAGAACATAACCCGTGTCATGCCAACAACTGGTTTTTAAGTAAATGTGTTTAGTGCCGATGCAAAGACCCTATAAGTGAATCAATATTAACGCCAAAATATGCAATCTTTAATGACCTGACAACAGTATCGTAACTATATCCCTTCTTAATAAGTCTATTTAAAGGTTTTGTTAGCTTCAGAGGTGAATACTGACATTTTTGTGCTTTATAAAGAATATTTCCATAAAAAATTGGATGTGAAATACCTGAACGTATAAGAAGTCTGCATGTTGAGCTATATTTACGAATGATGTCCTTATACCGATGATAAAATTTAGTAAATGTTTTGACTAGTTTGTGATATCGAAAACCCAAGTGTAATAATTTTTCAGTAATACATAAATTTCTCTCGTTAAAATCTAAAACATTGTTACATACACGAGCGAATCGTACAAGTTGAGATATATAAACACCGTAAGATGGTGACAAGGGAACGTCACCATCTAAAAATGGATAATTAACGATAGGAAATGAAAAATCATCTCTTTTATCATATATTTTAGTATTAAGCTTTCCGTTAATGATATAGATATCAAGATCGAGGAAAGGGCAGTGGTCATTGTCAGTATTAGCTTTATTTAAAGTAAGTTCAACAGGATAAATTTCTTTAGTATACATACTGAAGTCGTCATTATTGAGAGCCAAAATATCATCCAAATATCTAAAAGTATTATTAAATTTGTGTATCAGATGTTGTTTCGATGGGTTTTTGCTGATTTTTGTCACAAATTGTAACTCATAGCAATACAAAAAAAGGTCCGCAATAAGTGGTGCACAGTTAGTCCCCATTGGAATTCCGATAACCTGACGATATACGGAATCTCCAAAGCGAACAAAAATGTTATCTAGTAAAAATTCAAGGGCATATATAGTATCAAAGCATGTCCAATTGACATAGTTTTTTTGTTTATTGCTACTAAAAAATGACCTAAAAGAGTTTGAACATATATATTCACATTCTGACTTTTTAAATGCCCATTTAATTAGGTGTGTGAATTTTTTCTTAATGAGAATGTGAGGCAATGTGGTATATAGGGTAGAAAAATCAAAACTTTGAACAGATTCAAAATCACCAATATATGCATGCAATTTATCAAGTACTTCCAACGAGTTCTTGACACTCCAAAAGTAATTAATTCCACTATTATCGAAGGCCTTATTTGAACAATTTATTATCAGGTTTTTGATTGTACCAAGTGTACTGGTAAGAAGAATAGACAATTTAGTAGTGGAACAATGGCTTGAAGACGAAATGAATCTATATTTGTAAGGTGTTTTGTGTAGCTTCGGAAGCCAATACATAGTTGGGACTTTCATTGTATTTGGTTCTGCTTGTAAAGCGGTAGCTAAAAGTTTATGTTTGTTACAGATGTCGTTTTCTGAAAATGGAGTCAGTTGGAATGTTGGTGAATTGGTGATTTCTTTTTTCAGAACCTCAATGTAAAATTTACGTCAAACAATAATAATATTATTAGCAGCTTTATCGGCCGGGATAAAAACAAATTCCTTGGCTAGTTCTTTTAGTTTATGTTTGATACGAGAAATAGGTTTATTGTGGTTATTGTTAAGAGTAAAATGTTCTTTAAAATGTTGAATACGTATATCAACTATGTTCATTACTGATTTAAAAAAAGAGTCCAAAGATTTTTTGTCAGCTTTTTCCCGTTTTATCCATTTCAAACAGTAAGTATGGAGTGAGTCGTGGATGATATTACGACACTCATTCCAATTAATAATTGACGGGGGACGATATTTAGGTCCTTTACTGAGGAATGATTTTAACTCTCGGTCTTGAACGATGTTAAGATCTCCTGTTATAACATGGGAAATGGGTCCATAAATGTATTTGGAATTACTGCAATTACATGAAGTAGGTGTATTTTCACTGATATTAACATCTTTACACATTTGGCTATAATTAAACACAAATTTCCGGGTAGATTTCTTGTAAATATAACAAATAAGAGGGAGCTCAGTATTATCAAAATATCCCGGAATTTGTTCTTTAACAGAATTGTCGTTAAAAATACCGGCAATATTTACAAAATCAAAACCTTTATTGACATACTTTATTTTAATAAACTGTTTTTTATGATCTTCAGGGCGATCAATTTTGGGAAACAGTTTAGAATAACAATATGCCATTATAATTTGAACGATTTCATACTTAGGACTGCTATATGAAATTGTGTTGCAATCCTCTAAAATTTTATTTAACTTATTAACCGGTAATGAACAGAGCTTTGTTAACAGATAATGTCTGCCGTTGTTTTTAGTATAACCTAAAATTAAAACAAGAGAATTAAGACTACCAAAGAAACCCCCAACAGAATAAATGGTATAACTTTAAATTAAAACACGAGAATTAGAACTACCAGAGAAACCCCCAACACAATATATGGTGTAGCCTAAAATTAAAACCAGAGAAACCCCCAACACAATATATGGTATAATCTAAAAATAAAACCAGAGAATAAGAAGCTATAATACATTAAATATCACATTTTGTTTAAATAGTAAAATATGATTGTCCCACAAACATAATAACAAGATAATGTTCAGTGTGTTTCATTATACATTTCCAATGCATAGTTAAGGATCTTCAGTATTAAACAAATCTAGATAACAAATGTAGCTTTTTTTAAATTTTCAATGTGACATTTTAATTTCAGATTGTAACCCACATTCTAGACCATATTTTCATGTACTGAAACTCTGCAGGCATGTTGGGTTTGATATAAGGGGTTTGCCTCACTGAAGTAACTGTAAGAGGACATGTCATTATAGTTTGACATTTTCACAACTTATCTTTGTTCTTGCTCCTAAATTCTATATGCTTTACAGGCAAGTAGAAATTATCATTCTTTTGCCTAATGAAAAACCACTTACCATTCAAACTTCTCTGTAGTTGTCCTTCTGACAACATTCATAAATAAATTAAAAGTTATACAGGCTACCCATAACAGAACTGAAAAATCTGAAAGTATATTTAATATAAGGCAAAATAATGGAATGAAGTATATTTCTAATTTGGAGGTTTATTGCATGTACAAAGAAATAAAGTATCATATTGTACATTTAGTTCAATGACCTCTTTCAAAAAATCTTTTCAAATGTTTAAGAACTAAGTTTGTTTTATAATTCTTGTTAGAGAAAATAAACAGTCTCCTTGTTATAAAAACAAGTTTAACATTTACATGGGAATGCATTGAATGTTTTTCTGTTATATTTCTCACTTTAAAATTGTGTTTTACCCTTTGTTTTTGGTACAGTAACTGCAGTTACAGTGATGTATTAAGACATGATTGATTTAAAAAAGACTATGGCTGTGGAGGCAGAGACAAATAATCATAGAAATGAGATGTGTGAATGCTAATACAACTGCAAAACCAAAAATGATATACTTGCAATTATTGACCCAATTACAAACTTTAACATTTAAACTATGCAGAAGTCAATGGATTATGACTAAGGGAACAAGGCCAAATAAAGTCCATGGAAATGAGATGCGTTCAATGACATCGGGGCCGATCCTAATGCAACTGCACAACAATCATCATTGACTTACCATTTGTGGTTCCTTTTCAACTGATCTAATCACAAACTTACACAAATTGTTGATTCTGCTGATGCTAAAAACAGCCAGCCAAAGTCTTGTTTTCATGACTTTTTGCAGGCCAGACAAAAACTGGTTTTACTGATTTAATCTTAAAAATATTGTGTACATCAGATGCTTGCCGAAAAAAAGGCGTTTGGTTGATAAATGTCTCAAAGGCAATCATACTACATCTCCTTATTCATGTTTTTACTAATATTGAGCAAAACTTCTTAAAAATTGTCCCGAAGAAGTTTTAAAAAAATGGAAATTGAAATAAAACTCAGATAAAGATCTTACAATTTCTTTATTACTGAGAACAGAATACATCATATTAGTAAAAGAGGTTGTGTTTTTCTTTTGCAATTGTTAATATGTTTTCATACATGCATGCAAAAGCAGTATTTGATATTCATATCAATGGTAGTATTTAAATTTTGTTGAAATTCACCATATAATCAATAATGAAGAAAAACATTTTTGTAGAGTAAAATCATACAATTATCCTCATAAGTCTACTTACCAAAAAATTGTAAAAACCAAGCTTGAAAATGACAAGTGGCTCCATCAGGAACAAGACCTCCCTATAATATAAAAAGAGAAGTTTGACATTTTCATGTAACTAAAGAAGCAATATAATTAATTTTCAATTTTGAGTTTTTGTTATATCTATTACAAAGTTACTATCATGTGCCTCAAGTTTGTTTTTTTTATCATTTGAAGACTTTGGTGTTGATGGAATACCTTTGATGGTTTCTGTTTTAACTAATTCAACACCTTTATAGACTCAGAACTTGACATAAACACCTGTCTATAGACGGGAAACAAAACTTCTTAAACTTCAGTGAAATCACATTTACATACCTGTTACCTTAATATTAAATAACATGGTTTCGATAATATAAAAAAAATAATAATATAATAAAAATTAAGGTTTCTCTGCAAGTTTCATTGATGATTGCCAGTTACAAAGGCCATTCTTAAAAAATTCTTTGTTTGATATTGCCTACCCATACCTTGAAAGGTTGGGTAAGTAGGGATTTTATTTTATTTTTGCTAACAACTTAAGTTACATGTTTTAGACAAGAAAATGAAGTTAGAGTAGAAAAAAAAATTGAAATGATTTATGCCTTAAAATTTTTGGGGTAGTCTGCTTTTCAGGTGGGTAGGTAGGCAACATCAAACAATTTAAATCTTATTTTTGACCTCATTCTATCTTAATTCTGTTTTTAAAGCTTTATCTAGTTTTAATGTAAATGTACATCTGTTTGGCTTACTGTGTGTTATAGAAAGATATCTTTCATAAAGAAAAAATTCATAAGGGGTTCCGCAGAACCCTGTGTCTCGCCTGCGACTGCTGCTGTCAGTGTTAAAAGTGTTATGTTGACTTAAAAAGTGAGTCCATTCATCAGTAAAATACAGAATTTAAAAAAAAATTCAAATTTTTTCTTGAGATGCTATTTTGGTCTTGAATATGAGATTCTGTACAAGTTTCATAACAATCCATTAAGGTTTACAAATTTATCATGTAAAACATTTTATCCCAGACTGTCTTTAAATGTTAACTGTAAAAAATGAAGTCCATCTATCAGAAAAATACTAAAAATGAAAAAATATACATGTATTTTCAAAGGTTTGCTTCAGACATTATCTCTCAATCATTAAAAAGCTACTGCCAAAGTTTCATAAAACTCTATGTAGGTTTGATAAAGTAATTGATGTGTAACAAACTTTAACCCCAGACTGTATCTACTTGTTAACTGTAAAAAAACTAAGTCCATTTATCAGTAAAATACTGAAAATTAAAAATAAATATTTCCAAAATTTTGCTCTGGATACTTTTTCTTGGTAATAAGCAAGCTTCTGTCCAAATTTCATACATTTCCATGAAGGTTTGACAAAGTTATTGATGACTGAAAATTTAACTGTAAAAAAAATAAGTCTATTTATCAGTAAAATACGGAAAAATGAAAAAGAAATATTTTCAAAATTTTGCCGTGGATACTGTATTTTGGTCATAAACAAGCTTCTGTCCCAATTTTATAAAATTCCATGTATGTTTGACAAAGTCATTGATGTCCAAAAAAAACTTTAACCACAGACTGAACCTAAATGTTGATGCCGCTGACGACAGAATCTAGGATCACTATGTCTCGCTTTCGCGAAATAAATTTTGCAAGTTTTACAAAAAAATAGAGTAATAACTTAAGCAAGAAACAAAGGTATGTCCTTGGCTGTGTTTCTACTCATATCATTTGCAGAGTTCTTGAAAAGTGATCAGAAGTTTTTGACCATTAAAATTTTGCAAAGGACAGACCCAATTTTTATATTTTGCAATAGAAATAATAGTGACCAGCAGATTTTCTTCAAGGACCTTCAGGGAAAATAATATTTTGAGAACTTTGCATTTGTTTTCATAAACCCTACAAATTACATGCTGACAATGTAGAAAGGCAGTTAAAATTATTAAAGACTTTCATACTCTCACATAGTTATTAACCACTTGATGAAATTGATTGTACAGTACAATTTGTACTCTTGTTTGATTTTTCATAAAAAAAAAAAACTATAAAGAGATTATCAAACACAGAGTAAAATGAGACATTCCCTATCATGGCTAAAGAGGATGTACTTACCATCAGATAGGCAATGGATACAAAAAATGCTGCTATACTGAGGTATAAAATTAGTCTCTGTAAGAAGATAAAGTATACATAAATACAGAGAAATAAATAAACCATATAATGTGTCTTTTTATAGATACATTTCAATATCATATAATTGGAGTTGATAGAGTTTCATATTGTATTGTCTTTTTATGATGTTTTAGATGGATAAGATTTTTTAAAAATCATAATACGACCGCAGAGGTCGAACCCTGAACAGTTGGGGCAAGTATGGACACAACATTCAAGCTTGATACAGCTCTGAATTTGGATTGTGATTAAATATTTGACACAGCATAGGTTTCTGACACAGAATGAATGTGTTCTAAGAACTTAAAAATTTTAAATTGGACATTCAACTATTATGGTCCAATATCCAAAATCTAAATACATGGTTAGATTAAGCATATCAAAGAACCCCAAGAATTCAATTTTTGATGAAATCAAACAAAGTTTAATTTTGGACCCTTTTGACCTCAATGTGGACAAAGTTGATAATGGGGCCCAAAAATCAAAAATCTAAATACATGGTTAGATTCAGCATATCAAAGAACCTCATATATTCAATTTTTGTTGAAATCAAACAAAGTTTAATTTTGGACCCCGATTTGGTCCAACTTGAAAACTGGGCCCATAATCAAAAATCTAAATACATGTTTAGATTCAGCATATCAAAGAACCCTAAGAATTCAACTTTTGTTAAAATCAAACTAAGTTTAATTTTGGACCCTTTGGACCTTAATGTAGACCAATTTGAAAACAGAACCAAAAATTAAGAATCTAAATACACGGTTAGATTCGGCATATCAAAGAACCCCAATAATTCAATTTTTGATGAAATCAAACAACGTTTAATTTTGGACCCTTTGGACCTCAATGTGGACCAATTTAAAAACGGGGCCCAAAATCCAAAAACTTAATACACGGTTAGAATAAGCATATTAAAGAACCCCAAGAATTCAAGAATAAAACCCCATTGAAATTGGTCAAGAAATAAGCAATTTATACGAAGTATCTTCTTTTGCACAATACTGTGCAATTGAATATTTCTTGCTATTGCGCAATACTGTACAATTGACAATTTCTTGCTATTGCGCAATATTGTGCTATTGGATATTTCTTGCTATTGCACAATACTGTGCAATTGAAGATTTCTTGCTATTGCGCAATACTGTGCAATTGAAGATTTCTTGCTATTGTGCAATACTGTGCAATTGAAAATTTCTTGCTATTGCACAATACTTATTATATAATAATTTACACATCCTGTTTGGTGTGTATCTCCTACCATATCATTATTATTTGCTTTTAAATATAAAACAGAAATAACCAACTTAAAATGGAAAATTTTAAAAGAAAAAAAAAAAGGAAAAAAAAATTTTTTGAACCCCCTTATGATTCATCACCCCCAAACTCAATCCCAGCCTTCCCTATGTGGTATGGTACCTTGCAGTACAATTTCAGAGAGATCCATACACTTGAACACAAGTTATTGTCTGGAAACTAGAAAAATGCTTATTTTTGGCCCCTTTTTGGCCCCTTATTCCTAAACGCTTTGGGCAATTACCCCCAAACTCAATTCCAGCTTTCCGTTTGTGATATGGAACCTTGTAGTACAATTTCAGAAAGATCCATACACTTACACACAAGTTATTGTCATGGAACTAGAAAAATGCTTGTTTTTTGCCCCTTTTTTGGCCCCTAATTCCTAATATTTTGAGGCAATTACCCCCAAAATTAATCCCAGCATTCCCTGTGTGATATGGAACCTTGTGGTACAATGTCAGAGAGATCCATACACTAACACACAAGTTATGTCTGGAAGTTACAAAAATGCTTATTTTTGGCCCCTTTTTGGCCCCTAATTCCTTAACTGTTGGTACCATAACCCCCAAAATCAATCCCAACTTTCCTTTTGTGGTATTGAACCTTATGGTAAAATTTCAAAGAGATCCATTCACTTAAACTAAAGTTAGAGTGCGAAAACCAATGTGTCTTCGGACGACGCCAGACGACGACGACGACGACGACGCCAACGTCATACCAATATACGACCGTAAATTTTTTGCGGTCGTATAAAAATCTAAATACATGGTTAGATTTGGAATATCAAAGAACCCCAATAATTCAATTTTAGATGAAATCAAACAAAGTTTAATTTTGGACCCTTTTGACCTCAATATGAACCAATTTGATAACGGGGTCCACAAACAAAAAATCTAAATACATGGTTAGATTCAGCATATCAAAGAACCCCATATATTCAATTTTTGTTGAAATCAAACAAAGTTTAATTTTGGACCCCAATTTGGACCAACTTGAAAACTGGGCCAAAAATCAAAAATCTACATACATGTTTAGATTCAGCATATCAAAGAACCTCATATATTCAATTTTTGCTAAAATCAAACAAAGTTTAATTTTGGACCCTTTGGACCTTCATATGGATTTTTTTGTAAAAAAAAAAGATGCAACATTTGCAGATATTTTTACTGGTCTCCCTTCTTAAATATGCATTTCTTTAAACATAATTTAAAAGCAGTGTAAGGGAAGCAACCAAAACGTTGTATTTGGATTACCTCCCTTACACTGTTTTAAATTATCTTTATTGTTCATTAACCATTACTTTATACATAATTTAAAAGCAGTGTAAGGGAGATAATTTCAATGATGTATTTGATTTATCTCCCTTACACTGCTTTAAATTATGTTTTGTACTAAAGTATTTGTCCATTAACCAGGACAACCTTGTTTACCCCCTTTTTTGCCCCTAATTCCTAAACGGTTTGAGCCATAACCCCCCAAAGCAAATCCTAACCATCCTTGGTGGTATGGAAACTTGTAGTATAATTTCAGAGAGATCCATACACCGTTCCACAGTTATTGTCTGGAAACTATAAAAATGCTTATTTTTGGCCCCTTTTTGGCCCCTAATTCCTTAACTGTTGGTACCATAACCCCCAAAAACAATCCCAACCTTCCTTTTGTGGTATTTAACCTTATGGTCAAATTTCAAAAAGATCCATTCACTTAAACTAAAGTTAGAGTGCGAAAACCAATGTGTATTCGGACGACGACGACGCCGGACGACGACGACGACGCCAACGTCATACCAATATACGACCACAAAATTTTTTTGCGGTCGTATAAAAACATAGGTTACTGTGCTTACATCTTCGTCACTTGGTCCCTGGAGGATAGACATCTCATTGACAATCATACCACATGTTCTTATTTATATATATATATATATTTTTAAAGTAGGCTCAAAATTGAGAGTTGAAGTATTTTTGTTGAAATTTTCTATCACCTTTTTCCCCCCATCTCACAATACATGTATAACTCAATTTTTTGCCTGTGGTATATAAAATAATGGGTTGTACAATTATCTGCATAAACTTATTGAACTAAAATTGGTTATAAAATAAATGTAGCTTCTCAGACAAATTCTTCTTTACCTGTGCAAAAACAGTATACTTCTTGAACAGCCATATCACAACTATCATAAAGAAACTGAAATTAAATGATATGAATTTAATATACAAGTGGTATTTACCCCCTGGTCACTAACGACAAATATTTTAATACTTATTTTGCCTTTATATGGTTTCCTCCTCAATCTGCATTTTTTTCCTGCTGGACCATGTGGACATCAAACAACCATCCATCTATCCACAAATTTTTAGAAAATTAGATTTTTTAAAGTTTATTCTATCGATTTATTTGTGATCTTACAAAACAAAATACCAAAGAAAGGAGATCCCAAGTCCTGGAACCCACACCCTTCATAAAAGGTGTCTTGATCATACAACGTACATACAAGCAATTATAGAGCTTGTTCATTTGCCTCAGACTAAAACTTAAGATATTTGAATTTTAAACTCTCTTAAATAAACAGTCACCATTAAGCTTTTTTTATTGCATAAAAATACAGACAACCACTGAATAAATAACTTGATTTGTTTTCTGTTATCAATAAGTTAACATTTACCATCCTACTAAAGATAAGGCTCCTGTTGTCCTTCGAACTGCTATTACAACATCCTACAAACACAAAAATTTCTTCAGAATTTTCAGAATCAAATTTTCAACTTTAATATAGATAACAAATACATGTAAATAATTCATTTTTGTAATTAGTACATTTTTTCAGGCATAATTATTACATTTAACTTATACATGTAAATGTACATGTAGGTTTCAGAAGCAAGAATATGAGCTGGAATTTTAAAATGCTACAAGAAATTCACAGGTTATAAAGGTAACCATGGTAACATTCTGCTGGAATTTTTTTTCAAGTAATGTCATCTCATGAAGACGCATTAGGTTGACTCTGAGTGGTGACAGACTAAATGCTCTTACATGTGTACAGTACTCCTAAATGTAGCATGCTTACACAAAACTAGAACAAATAGCAAATACCAATTTTCAATTCTTTTGTTTGACCTGGAAAGACACCCAATCCACTGCCTCACACTTGACCAGAGCATGCTATATCAAGACTGCTGAGGTATTTTTTACCTTCTATGTAATGGGAATAGCTGTGTGTCTGAATAAAAAATCTGGCAATTTTTTATTTCATGCAATGCAATCTGGACAGTAAATTTAAATGTGAAAGGAAAAACAATCCTGATTTTCCATTTGAGTAAACAGGAAATTCAAATATCAAAACCAAAAAAATTGAACTGTAAATAAAACATGAAATCATGGTTTCAAGACTATCAATATTCCTAGTTACGTTAAGCATGTAAACAGAGAAAAAAAATATATGTGTATTAAAAGATCAAATTATAATTCATTCAAATGAATAATTTGTTTTTTCATAAAGTTTCTTACTGAGAAGGTCAGTCCTGTTTTTTCCCCTACTGTTTGTTGATGAGGAAGTGTTTATATTTAAACATGATCTAGGAAGTCACGAAAATTTCCTTTCATAAATGTACCAACATCTTCAAATAACAATTTCAGGTTAGGATTACATATGACAATGCCAAATAAAGCACTAAAACTAAAAATTGTAATTTTCCCAAAAACTATCACAGGCAGGCTGATTACTGAAACAAACATGTACATCCTTAGGAAGTTGAGAAATCGAGAACATTTCGAAATCACAATTTATTGTGTCACAAAAAGACACCATTTCCATCAAAAATTTGCTAAAAAACTTTTGACAAAATTTGACGACTACAATATGCCCTAAGATAAAGTTATATAATTTGTTCTCAATGTTCATAACTTACACATTGGTGAGGATTATCAGGAAATATTGTGCATTCAACTTTGGTGACATTTTCCATTTTTCTGTTTATATGAAAAATACTTTACGAATCTCCAATTGGGAGAGTTTCCTTAACATAAAAATATTTGTTGCTACTAGTACAATATGTTTTACTTGTTATTGCTATGTACAGCTATGTACAGTAATTGCGAGAACTTTCAGATCGATACTTTGCGTCTTTAGAAGTATTTGTGTTAGTTGTTTTTGTGAGCTTTGTGTCGATCTGATGAGTTCACAGGTATTTTGGGCATGGACTCACTTTAGGGCCCAACGATGTAAAAAAAAATCTAATCAAGCTTTTTTCATACTTTTCAATTTTCTATTTTTTTACACATATAAAAAGTCTCATATTATGGGTTTATTAGACTTGATATATGTATTAGAATTCAGAAAATTGTAAATATATCTTTTTTTCTACATTGAGGCCAAAAAGGGGTGTCCATGCCCCAAATACCTGTGAATGAGTCTAGCTTTTTTCAACTGATTATTATAGTGTGTTCATAAGTTGGGCTGTCACATCACGTTATTAGGTTAGGGGGTTGGTCGCCCGCAAACATGACACCTTTTACAAGAAAGTTATATGAATAAAACATGAAAATAGAGCCTGTCAGATGATGATGATGATGATGATGATGATGATGATGATGATGATGATGATGATGATGATGATGATGATGATGATGATGATGATGATGATGATGATGATGATGATGATGATGATGATGATGATGATGATGATGATGATGATGATGATGATGATGATGATGATGATGATGATGATGATGATGATGATGATGATGATGATGATGATGATGATGATGATGATGATGATGATGATGATGATGATGATGATGATGATGATGATGATGATGATGATGATGATGATGATGATGATGATGATGATGATGATGATGATGATGATGATGATGAAGAAGAAGAAGAATTAAGATTAAAATGGTCTATCTTCTTATCAATCTCTATTAAAGTCTCCAATAAAAAATAGTTTCTTTATTTTTCTGAAAGAGTTGTATCAAATTCCTACTCAAAAAGATCTTTCAGAGACTGAGGAGAATTTTATAAGATAATTCGGGTCGATTTTGAACTAAAATGGAATCTTTGACATAAACTTATAGATCGCCACCGTCCTTATTCTGGCGATCTTTTCTAAACATTTTGTATTCTTACAATTTACATTCTTCATCATTAATATCAGGTTTTAGAAAGGTATCAACTAATCCAAATAAATCTATGTATTAGATGTAGGCTTGTCATATATCTGAGAGGCGTTAACCCCGATGACATGAGACGACTGCATCTGGTTTACATAGAAGTAATAAATAAATATTTTTATCTTTTCTCTTGTTCTAAAAAACGCAATGAGTTTTGATAAAACATGAAAAGTGTCATTATCTAAAATTTTCCAGATGCAGTAACACTTTCAGAAGGTGTTTTGTAGCTATGGATTTGGAACGAAATCTTAATTGCGTTTATATTTTTCTGTCACCAAATTGATACCTTATCACTGCTTCTGTATGGCAATATCAATTGCTGTTCTGTCTTGTCTTTTTCTGGTTTAATTGCCAAAATCTGAACGTTTTGCTGATAAATGATAACACTATTATGTAAATACATGTTGTTTATAGTCATTGAATTATTTAACTCTTCAAATTTAGATAAAACATGCCTAACATTAATGCTAAATTAAAGGGGCATTAGCTACGATTTAGACAAAAAAATCTAATAAAATACGATTCTTTTTTTCAAGTATTTATAAAAGCGAAAATATGACATAATATTTCGTTATAAGCAGCCAGTTTAGCCCAAATTTGTCAAAATACACACGAAATGATGATACATATTATCGAGTCCATGCATTGTTAATTGTTTATTTAAGTCTTTTTGTACTTTGGATTTACATTTTAGTAAGTTAAAAATCAAATGTGAGAATTTGAGTCGAATCGGTGAACATGAATTTGACAGCTAATGCCCTTTAAGGCAGTTTTTAAACAGTCACAGAAATAGATTGTTTTTAGTGCAAATATTTTCTTTTAAATTTAGACACATTTTTGAAGCACTTTTGTTTTTTTTAAATTCTCAGCTGTAGGAAGAGAATTTGCAGTACAAATACATTCTATTGTATTACAATTTGGACATAGATTTAGAACTATATCAAAAGTGTTCTGCAGAAGTAATGGTTTATTATGATTTGAGTTTTTTCCACAAATTGAGATACATCAGGTTTGTCCTTATATCCATAAAGTCTTTATAAGGTAACCATAAAAGTCAGAATTAAAGCAGTGACCATTGAATCAATTTACAATGTTTTTATATTACTATGTTGTTCGTTGCTTTCATTTTTGTACTGGTACCGATTGACGTGGATGAAAAGTTTATTACCTCATATATAATTGAATTGTATAGTGATTTTTTTATGTGGATTGCATCACGGTAGTAGTAAGTGGAAACAAGCTCGCCGCCTCTTGAGATAAATGCATGCGTAATTTTTTGGGGCCCTTTATAGCTTGCTGTTCGGTGTGAGCCAATGCTCCGTGTTGAAGGCCGTATCTTGACCTATAATGGTTTACTTTTATAAATTGTAACTTGGATGGAGAGTTGTCTCATTGGCACTCATACCACATCTTCCTATATCTATTATCTGTTTGTTTAATTCGTTTAATGTTCGGTTCTGTCGAAACCCTTTGTATAAAAGTATTATATACATATAGTCTGCATTTCTTCTGGGTTAAATTTCTGGTAAGACAATGTCTATGCTTGGTTTGGATCTTACAGTTTGGTAAGACAATGTCTATGCTTGGTTTGGATCTTACAGTTTGCAACATTAAATCGTAGTTTTCTTGAAAGCTTTCTGGTGTATATTGGAAGAGGCATCATTTCCACCAACGATTATAATGATAGTTTTGTTTTGTATTGTTGCTCTCTCTCAGTTTCTGTAAGATTCTTCGCTTCGTATCCTTTTGTTGTGCTGTCTCTGTTGCTGTTATTTACAACTTTAATATTACGACATTCCTTTTCTGCAATCTGCAAACTCTCATTTACACTTGATTTTACCATCTCTGGTGTTATAGGTTTACTGTGGTACTGGAAACGTCTTTGTATATCCTTCACCTTATCCGCTATTTTCAACCGAGATTCTACCTCAGTTTTAGTCCGATAAATGCTGAGACAACTATAACACAGTATAGTCTCAGATAAAGGATTGTTTTTCTGAAATTCTTACGGAAATTTTCCCTTTTACATTTTTAACGCAAATACGATAACATATTGGTGTTATATAGTATTGAACGTTAATTGCATCCAAATCTTAGAACACTGTTGTTCCAGAGGGTTTTATTTTTGTTCAGAGAAGTAGGATGCTGATGGTGAGGGTGGTTTGTTGTACTGTTCTATGTTTTGGTGATTCTATTAACCTTTTTTATGTATTACATAGTCTTTCAAATACAGATTTCTAAAAGACTTTACTTGAAACGTTTTTCACATAACGTACCATTATATACTAAATTTTGATAAATTGTTTGCTTTTCAAAATAATGTCTTTAAATCGCATTCCTTTTATTCCGAAAAACGATTTCTGAACAGAAAATAAATTGAAGTCTCCGATGAACAAAGGACTAACATTTCAAATCATTGAATAGTGAATTATAAGTTAGGTCTATAAGCTTTAGAATTTAAACTGCTAGGTGCTACAATTTAAACTTTTCAATACATGTCGGAAGAAAGGTGTTATTGTTCATACCGAGAGAGAATATTATTTAATATTGACAATGGTTATGTGTATATAAGTATATTGTCATGGAGTGGCATGCCATTCTTTGTGGAATGCAATGTAGATCAGCTCATTTTTCAAACTCGGAATAGAAACGTTTATATCAAATTTAATTTTTATTTATGTTAGACTTTCATATTTTTGCAAATTTCCTGAGAAAAATTAACAGTATTGATGTATAAATAAACTGTACTGATAACCATGTCGTACAGACTGAATTTAAATAAGAACTACGGCTCAGACGAAGACAAAATAGTGAATGCTGTGATTGATAAAAATGAAGGATTTCTTAAACGACACATGGTTTTGTCATCTTCAATAGTAGGCAAGCTGCGAACAACCGGAGTTCTCAATGACGTGGCTAATGTTAGAATGAAAGTAAGTTGTTTGAAACAATATACTACGATTGAAAATAGGGTTTAAGTATTATGAAACAATATATTCCTCAAAATCGAATTAACGAATACCTTCTTTTTTGTCAATATCAATAATTTAAATTTGTCTTCTTCCAACTCAATCTAACAACATTAACAACACTTGTTGTTTTCAATCAAGATTTTACTTCATTTGTAGTACGACATTTAAAAAAAAGCATTCGAGCTTAGAGCCATATGAAACGAGTTTCTTGAAATTAGAATGTTAATAAGGAAATTTTTGAACCAATGCATGTATATATATATATATATATATATTATATATATATATACCAAACTAAATCCTCTATACACAGTTTTTTAAACATTTATTACGAATCCATAACATGTAATCAATTTTATTCAGTGAAAACTTCTCCTGCTAATTAACTTTCGTGTTTTATTGTCGAAGTTTACCAAACGTGACCTCAATAGATAATCAATCAAGAATTATGGAGCACGTGAAAAATATGTGAGAAAACAGACATGCAATAGAGCGGTGTTTAATTTTTGTTATATATTTTCCATGCGTTGTTAATTGTTAACCAAACATTGTCATAACAGTCGTTAAATGATTTCATGTATTAAAATTAAAATACTATCGAACTTCAATGTTTGTGAGTTTCCTTTTCTTTCATCACGGGTTGTCTCTCGCACTTGCGCTGCGCGTTTGTCGAAGTACCAACGAGATGTCTCGTGGTTAAGTTCATTGCATATCGGCGAATTAGAGTACGGGAAGACAATTATTCAATAGCAGTACATTTCTGAAGATTTTTTATAAGATAAATGATTCTCTTTTTTAAGAAATGCCATGTACACGTGTTTTATAGTAAAACTTGGTCATTCAAGTATATAAAACGTATTCATTTTTTTAATTTTAATTATCATATGAATTTAAACAATTGTAGTGCTAAGAGTTTGACCATTCGTAGTATCTGCATGCTTATATGAATAATTTACCGAGTCAAATTGTTCGTACATGAACAATCATTAATTATTTTATTGCATTTATAAAGTATTTAGCACGATTATATCAATTTTTAACCGATCACAAGTGGTAAAACGAAATGTACAGAACATTATTTTGCTTTGTAAGCATTTTAAATTCAAATCTATAGGGTAAGTCTAAGATTAATTTTTAGAGGATTACGGATTCACATAAGGAAAAGTAATGGAAGCTTAAATAAGATTAATGTGGCTCCAACATGGTCTAATCCGACCTACGACCTTGCAACCTGACGTCTAAATTTTAAAATAGGACCTGTGAATTTAAAAAAAATGTTTTCAAATTTGTTTATGTGGATTGCATTTGTTTTCAAATTTGTTTATGTGGATTGCAGTTGTTTTCAAATTTGTTTAAGATTGACATGATGACCTAAGGCAGTTTTTAAACGTTATCTTGTGATATAAGGAGGTGACTTGCTGAAGCCCTTGATCGCCTATTCAACGATTTTAAATAAATTCCAATATGCATTTGCTATGTACTACAATCCGTATAATTGTATAACTCAATGATTGATTAGTGTTTGTTTCACACCCACTTAACGCAAACAGGCTATATCGTGGCCGAATACGCCAAGTAGACAACATACACAGCCATGTTCAGTTCTTCTAAAAGACATTTTGGATTTTGATGACTCTGAACAATACTGTCTCATTTCGAAATGTGAAGCCAATGGCTGCAAAACCTGTGGAATTTTAATAACAGTTGCTCAATTCACTAGCAATTTAACTAAAAAGTCTTATTTTACCAGAAGTTACGATGATCAGAATTGTAAATCTATAAATGTCGTCTACGGATTAGAGTGTAACCTTTGCGGATTGGTATACGTCGGTGAAACGAAAGGAAGGCTATAAATCAGACATCAACCACAATGCAAGCGACATTCTTTACCAGCATTTTAACAAGCCTGAACATTCAATCCTTTCTGATGATATCGGATATGTTCCGTATGTCGTAACTACAATCCCGTTCCCTTTTCACGAATGTGACCTACCGAATTAGACTATTTACCCCTTTTTATGACATTTTACCTATTGTTTTTGTTTGTTTTGTTCACACATCGTTGTCAATATAATGGAATTTGATGCGACTGTCATACAAGTGAGAGGTTTAGCTAGCTTTAAAACCAGGTTCAATCCACCATTTTCTACATAAGAAAATGCCTGTACCAAGTCAGGAATATGACAGTTGTTATCCATTCGTTTGATGTATTTGAGCTTTTGATTTTGCCATTTTATTATGGACTTTCCTTTTTGAATTTTCCTCGGAGTTCAGTATTTTTGTGATTTTACTTTTTTCTATGCAAGTTCGCATTATTGAAAAAATATACCACAGGACTAACAATCCTCATCTTGTAACACCTCTCCGTAGACAAAAAGAAGACTACTGGATTCGACAATTGGGAACTGCGACACCATATGGTTGCAATGACAACATTGATGGTATAGGTATTCATCTAGTCCTTCCTGTAGCTCGGTGAATGTGATGAATATTTTCAACTCAACTCCTCGACGTAGACGCAGTCATGGTCATCGTCATTATACATCACCAACTCTCCATGATGTCTCTATTAGTGACTTGCTGCCATTTATACAAAAGCCGCTAGGTATTCATCACATTCGCACAAAGCTTTATTCATTACCCCTTTCAAAACTTCATTCTCTGTCCAATTTATGTTTGGAAACCACTGTTCAAACCAATACAAACTTACAGCTATCATTTCGGATATTGCAAGTCACAGACTTTTCAAACCAGTTCGCATTGGAAAAGATGAAAAAGAGAAAAGATCCTTTCTTAAACTTTCCTTTGCCAACAAAGGTCTCGATGCCGTCAACTTGGGCAATATCCTTCATCATAAATTATTTCAATCGAAAATACCTCCCTATTTTAAAGATCAGTCTGTACCTATCATTTCTTATACCTATACCAAACCAATTGCAACTAAAATTTTAAATTACAAACACGTGTTGCAGGATCTCAATATTGACGACTTCAAGTCTAAACCTCCTGATTGCACCTGTGCTAGTTCCCCATTCATATATAATCCGGCTGGCCACGTTATTACCGGTGACCTCAACATTGTCAATAACACTTTCCTGCGAAATGTGTTATCCAAAGGTCCGAAATATCGTGAGCCTAAATCCATCAATTGGAAATACAACTTCAAAATACTGATGGATTCAGTCGAGGATTATGCCAGGCAATGGGTACCGTTAAACGCGAGAAAGAAGACGTAGATACTCTTTCTAAATGGATTAAGGCTGTGAGGTCGTTGATACAAATCAGAATTAAGAAACTGAATGGGTCTATTAATACCCATGCTACGTCAATCTTTAAAGACCCAAATGTTGCAAAACACTTGTCCTACCTCCATGACAAATATGTTGTTGTCCCTGCAGATAAAGCCCCAAACAACATCGTTTTTGTGTGTAAATCACATTACATAAACTGCTTGATAAATGAATTAAGTATTGACAATTCACTTGGAAACCAAACATATACCCCCACGACACTTACTAAAGAGTAAATCCTGGATAATCATAGGTCTGTTCTATGTTCCTTTGGAATTTCAACCAAAGATGAAGAACTGGATCTTCCATCACTGTATTGGATACCTAAACTACATAAGTGTCCTTACAAACAACGGTATATTGCTGGGTCTTCCAAGTGCTCCACGAAACCTCTTTCTAAATTATTAACATCAATTTTATAAGCAATCAAAGCCGGGCTTCAAAGTTATTGTGAAACTGCCTATTCTAGAGGTGGAGTGAATCAGATGTGGATGCTAAAAAATTCCAAAGATCTTTTAGGGTACTTACAATCCAAGACTATTTCATCTTGCAACAGTATTAAAACATTTGAATTTTCTACACTTTACACATATATTCCCCTTTCCAAACTAAAAGACAAATTGAAAGAGTAGGTATTGCTTTGTTTCATAAAAAAGAATGGCAAACGTAGATAGAAGTATTTTAGTGAGGAATAAATCCTACTTTGTAAAAAAAACACTCTGATTCAAGCAAAAATTCTCTGAAACTGACATTATCAAGATGCTTGATTTCTTGATTGACAACATATTTCTTACGTTTGGATGACGTGTTTTTCAACAAACTATCGGCATTCCCATGGGAACCAACTGTGCACCGCTTCTTGCCGACTTGTTCCTTTATTCTTATGAGGCTGAGTTCATACAGGAACTTCTTAGGAAAAAAAGAAAAGAAGTTAGCAGTATCCTTTAACTTTACTTTCCGCTATATAGATGCTGTTCTCTCACTAAATAATTCAAAATTTGGTGACTATGTTGAACGCATCTATCCCATCGAACTAGAGATAAAGGATACAACGGATATAGTTAAGTCTGCCTCATATCTTGACTTACATCTAGAAATTGACAATGAGGGTCGGTTGAAAACAAAACTTTACGACAAGAGATGATTTCAGCTTCCCAATTGTGAACTTTCCATTTCTATGTAGCAACATTCCCGCAGTGCCTGCAAACGGAGTATATATCTCCCAATTGATACGATATTCCCAGACTTGAATTTCCTATCATGATTTCCTTGATAGAGGGTTGCTGCTCACTAGAAAGCTATACAAACCAAGAGTTCCAAATGGTGTAGTTGAAATCATCCCTTCGTTAATTTTACGGACGCCATCACGAGTTGGCTGACCGTTATGGAATATCCGTTTCACAGATATAGCGGATATGTTCCTACTGTCGTAATTACAATCCCGTTCCCTTTTCACGAATGTGACCTACCGAATTAGACTATTTACCGGGTTTGTACTAACATGAGCAACACGACGGGTGCCACATGTGGAGCAGGATCTGCTTACCCTTCCGGAGCACCTGAGATCACCCCCAGTTTTTGGTGGGGTTCGTGTTGCTTAGTCTTTAGTTTTCTATGTGGTGTTTTGGGTACTTTTGTGTGTCTGTTTGTCTTTTTTTTTAGCCATGGCGTTTTCAGTTTATTTTCGCTTTATGAGTTTGAATGTCCCTCTGGTATCTTTCACCCCTCTTTTAAAACAATTTTGAAAATCAAAATTTAAAAAAAGCGCCCATAAAATTGTCTTGAAATAGCATGTCTCGTAAAACAGTTCATATATATCTTCATTGTAAGTTTTGACGTTTGTCTGCATTTTTTATTGAGTGAGATTTAAAATATAACATTTGCACAATCATTTGTTATTTATTCTTATTCAGAGGCGTAGGAGTAGACTGAAAAGTGTGCGTGTGTGTGTGAGGGTGTGTGTGTGCGCGCGGGGGGGGGGGGGGGGGGCAATTTTTTGAAAGTGACAAGAAAAAAAATCCTTCTATATGAAAAGTCTAGAATTTTGTCAGTGTCCTCTATCATTCTAATTTTTACTTTTTTATAATTCAGCCTTTTTCAACTGATTCTTATAGTTTATTTTTGTGTTGTGCTGTTACATTACAGATCTGTCCCAGGTTAGGATAGGGTTGAGCGCTTGCTAACATGTTTAACCCCGCCACATTCTGCGTGTGCTTGTCCCAAGTCAGATTCCTGTATTTCAGTGGTTGTCGTTTGTTCCTGTTCATCGCTTTTAATATTGGTCCAAGAACAAAACACTCCTTTATTCAAACTTATATCAAAGCCTATAGTTGTTAATTTCTGTGTCATTAGGTCTATTGTGGAGAGTTGTCTCATTGAACATTATACCACATCTTCATATTTTTATATTAACTGTCAAATATATATTTCATATATGTAGTGCGCATATATACATATGCATTCCGTCTATAACAGTATACATGCCATACATGATTAACTACAGTGTCCACTTATTTTGCAGGGAGAAAGCAACGAATCACAGGTACATATACTACTAAGTGTATTACGTCGTAGTGGAATGCGAGTTTTCCGCAAGTTTATTGAGGTATTACGTACGTCAATGGACAGTTGGGTAGCTGATGTTATTTTAGACACAAATGTTGCAGAAACTGCTCTAATGGGAAAAAAGTACACATTAATTGACCATATAAATAAAGAGGACTATTACGAAGATACTGCGAGTACTGAATACAAAGCATTAGATATAATACCTTACAACATACCGCAAATATCAGACAAATATCCAAGCAAAAGAACAATTTCTAATTTATCTGAAAAAATGGCAGCTATCAAAAGCATGAATCCCCGGGGGCATGATTTAGTATCGTCGAACCAATTACAGAGGATGACAACTATGTTTGACAGTGAAAGACAGACCCAAGAGGCAACTTTAGCCGTTTTAAGACAAGAAGAAAACGCAATTAGAGAACTTCTAGATCAAAACATCAAAGAACAAACGCAGATTCGAAGAAACCAAAGATCTCTTTATGAAATCGACAAAAAGTTAAAGCAAATATCTTTGGAAACCTCTCAGTTATCAAGTCCGTTACCAAGGTCAAACAGAGCTCGAGAGAGACTGATGCATATTCAAAGAATACCAAGGTTGAATCTTTCGCGAGATGAATTGATAAACAGTACCTGAAAGTATTTTTTAAGTATTTTCAATAAAGCAAGCTAACTTTCGCAACCGCCTACGTCTTTATTTTCAAATTGTTCGTATCACTCACAAGGACCCTCACTAAACGACATAATTTTATTTAACAACTGATGACTTCAAAATTCAATGTTTCTATTTCTTTTTCTATATTGACAGGCTTTGACATAGGTAATTCTCCTTCTGACACAATTGTAAATACTGTAGCAACATATTAAGATAGACAGCACTTCTGATTTTTTCCTGCTATCTTTTCTTTTTAGTTTTTACAAACTAAATCGTCAGAGTCAACATGTAAGTCCAAAATTCCGTCTCTTGTTTTCGATTTTGACTTTTAAAATGTTTTTCCCATTTTTTGTTTATTGCTTTCTAGGATAGACACTTTCAAATGTATTATATGTCACCGTACGGCTTTCAACAATGAGTAAAACCCATATCGTATAGTCAGTTTGTTAACCATATTCTTGACTCGATTCCTCGCTCTGTAACTCCTTATTCTTTTATTTTGGTCTTTATTGGTGCATACTATTTTTTGACAGAATATTATTCCTCTTATTTTGTCTCTTGTTTTTTTTATTATAACTCTGGTGTTAAAAAGCTTTTCACAGACACAGAGAAATATTTTAAATCAACAGTTTCAGTCTGTATTTACTAATTACTAATGAAACACCCCTAACAAAGGTAAAGAAGCCCCCATCGTCAAATGCCAAACATAACAATCAATGAAGCAGGTATTATCAAATTATTGTGAAACCTTTATGTGTGGCACTGATGACACCAATGACCGAGTCCTTAAAGAACTACAGGAAAAAGTTTCACCGATCCTTACATTATAATTTAAGTCCCTTGAAACTGGCAAAATACGTAAGGATTGGAAACATGCAAATGTAGACCCAACTTTTAAGAAAGGGAAAAATGTAAGCCGTAAATTACAGGCCATTATCTTTATAACCTGTATATGTTGTAAGATCGTGGATCAATTCATTACCAGTAGTGTAATGTCTCACCTAGAAAAATATCATATATCATACGACCTTCAACATGATTTAAGAAAATCAAGGTCTGATAATATTTTATTCAAGAATTGTCACAACGACAATAGTAACACTCAAACTGACTTTAAACATAATTGACTTCGCTAAAGCATTCCACAAAGTTTTACATCTTCGCCTCCTTTATCAGCTTAACTTCTATGGTATACAAAATTACACACTAAATTGGATCCAGGCATTTCTACATAACAGTACACAAACAGTCGTCATTAAAGAAATTTCTTCCCCTAAGTATCCGTAACATCTGGTATACTTTAAAAAAACAGTTGTTGATCCAATATGGTTCCTAATCTATAAAAATGACATACCTGGATATTTACAACACCGCAAGCTTAGACTCTTTCTTCTTCTTCTTTTGGTATACAATATTCCATCGACATCCGATGATTACATATTGTCGCATACGTGGACTATTTATAAATTTTACCCCAATTCAAACAAATATGATCATTTAGTTCAATGAAAATAACAAATTTGTGATTAAAACTATATACAATCTTAATTAATGCCATTAGATAATAGTACTGATAACAGCTGTAGTGAGCTGTTCCCTGAAGCTATCAACGGATGGTGCCTGGACAAGTACCACAGGGACCTGATTCCACTGTGGTATTGTATAAGGAAAGTATGGATGTCTGTAGGAGTCCTTAGATGTATGTACATGTCTGTATGTGAGTGTGTGGTTTTTCCTAGTTCTTGAGTCTGCTTTAATGAATATGTCAGATGGAAAAGCCACAAGATGGTATGGTATCTTATACATCATTACCAATCTTATGCGTAGCCTACGTTCTGCTAACGATGGTAAATTTAATGTGGTAAGCATGTTTGTAACACTACTCGTATTGTGGTATTTATTGCAGATATACCGAGCAGCTCGTCGTTGGACCATCTCAATTTTGGATACCGATTGGGTTGTGTGAGGGTCCCAAGCAGAACAAGAATATTCAAGTTTGTGTCGGATCAGTGCTTGGTATGCCTGGGTTTTTATGTATGGGTTTGTTGTTTTTAGATTTCGTTTTAGAAAACCCAGTGATTTGTTACCTTTGGATGTTCAAGTATGTCATTTATATGTATGTCCCATTTGAGGTTTGACTGTATTGTGACACCAAGGTACTTAGCTGATGTTACAGATTCAAGTGTATAACCATTTAAAATGTAGCTGTGCTGTATAGGTTGTTTCTTTTTTGTGACAAATAGCACAGTACATTTATCTGGACGGAAAGCCATCCGCCAATCCCTCTCCCAACTAGCTGCCGCATCTAGATCTACTTGGTAGTTTATTACAGTCACTCTAGGATCTGATCGGTCTGTATATTATGCTATCATCTGCGAATAGCCTGAGCTTACTGTGGGTTAAGTAGTCATTTGCGGATGACAGCATAATTTAGAGCCGGAGAAATAAAAACAAAAGATTATTGCCATAAATTGCAATTTGTTTAAGATTCACCAGCACGATGCGAGTCAGATTGGCTAATGGCATTTCAATCCGAAAAAAGTACCAATCTCACAATCTCGCAAAAAAAAGTACTCATAGGCATAACTACATCCTTCACAACCACATTCTCGAATCAGTAACATCTGAAAAATATCTCAGCATCACTCTACAAGGAACAAATATAGATAGCACAGTATCAAATGGGAATAAATCACTCTAAATCAAAGAGCTGAAAGCTCTAAGAAAAAATGACGCCATTGTCTCTCATATTGGGATATTTTTTATGCAAGTCTTGATTTTTACATAATTTACCTACTGAATCTTAGGCGACGTTTCAGTTTATGGTAGGTAGGGTGACTGATAGAATAGGTATGAATTGTTCCCACAATCTATAGCGTTTTTATTTGTTTGTCAAGATATATATATGTATATGTGTGAAGTGAAGATAACTACTAGTTGTTATGCTGTACAAAGAAATAGCTCCAGACTACCTGAACAATCTACAATATTCAAAGTAATATGTAAATTTGTTTCCCTTATTTGTAGAATTATTTAACAAAATGATTATGAAGAGCCTGTAGTAAGCAAGCTCTTATACCCCACATAGTCCTTATTCAAGAGATAAGTTACAGGTGACCTAGTGACATAATCACATTGTTATTTCTGTTACCTTAAAATGATCAATTTCTGTAGATTTAGACAATAGTATTGTTATACTAGTTTCACAATTACAAACAAAGTGACACCATTTATAAAACTTAGTTTCATTAATAGTCATTTATTTCAAATAATTAACCCGTAATAAAATAAGGAGATGGGGTGTGATTGCAAATGAGATAACAGTCTGATGTACAATGTACTATCTACCAGAGTCCAAATTATGTGGCTGTTGGCAGTTAAAAGTCACTTTCAGACCTCAACAATGTACCAAACCGGTTCATTGTTTTCAGGTACCACAGGAAAAAGAGGAGTTGTGGCTGGGTTGCTTACAATAAAATATAAGAAAAATAATGATAATAATATAAATAAGAAAATAAGAGAGACATTACTAATCCTTAGAGGAGCTGCTGATCTATACTTAGAAAAGAAAGATGTTGAGGACTTAGCCAGAGCGAGCAGAATTTTGAAACTTAGGAACAGCAGAGTATATGTGGGGACACCACATATATAGGCCCATCTGCCCTATATATGCTGCCACATATTAATATTAATGCCTAGGGTGATAATTAAACCCATGTGCATTTAATCAATTGTACTCTATGTACATGTATATATATGATATATATCAAATGCAAAAAATGCAGCTATTCTGTCTATTCTACTTACTAGTACACTTGGTACAATCAAAAACCTGATAATAAATTGTTCAAATAAGGCCTTTGAAAATAGTGGAATTAACTACTTTTGGAGTGTCAAAAACTCGTTGGAAGTACTTGATAAATTGCATGCATATATTGGTGATTTTGAATCTGTTCAAAGTTTTGATTTTTCTACCCTATATACCACTTTGCCTCATATTCTTATTAAGAAAAAATTCACACACCTAATTAAATGGGCATTTAAAAAGTCGGAATGCGAATACATATGTTCAAACTCTTTTAGGTCATTTTTTAGTAGCAACAAACAAAAGAGCTATGTCAATTGGAACGCTTTGATACTATATCTGCCCTTGAATTTTTTACTTGATAACTTTTTTTTTCGCTTTGGAGATTCCGTATATCGTCAAGTTATCGGAATTCCAATGGGGACTAACTGTGCACCACTTATTGCGGACCTGTTTTTGTATTGTTATGAGTTACAATTTATGACTAAAATCAGCAAAGACCCACCGAAACAACATCTGATACAAAAATTTAACAATACTTTTAGATATTTGGATGATATATTGGCTCTCAATTATGACGACTTCAGTATGTATACTAAAGAAATTTATCATGTTGAACTTACTTTAAATAAAGCTAATACTAACAATGACCACTGTCCTTTCCTCGATCTTGATATCTATATCATTAACGGGAAGCTTAATACAAAAACTTATGATAAAAGAGATGATTTTTCATTTCCTATCGTTAATTATCCATTTTTAGATGGTGACGTTCCCTTGTCACCATCTTATATCTCAACTTGTACGATTCGCTCGTGTATGTAACAACGTATTAGATTTTAGCGAGAGAAATTTATGTATTACTGAAAAATTATTACACCAGGGTTTTCGATATCATAAACTAGTCAAAACATTTACTAAATTTTATCATCGGTATAAGGACATCATTCGTAAATATAACTCAACATGCAGACATCTTATACGTTCGGGTATTTCACATCCAATCTTTTATGGTAATATTCTTTACAAAGCACAAAAATGTCAGTATTCACCTCAAAAGCTAACAAGACCTTTAAACAGATTTATTAAGAAGGGATATAGTTACGATACTGTTGTCAGGTCATTAAAGATTGCATATTTTGGCTTTAATATTGATTCACTTATAGGGTCTTTGCATCGGAATTAAACATATTTATTCTAAAACCAGTTGTTGGCATGACACGGGT